AGCCATGTTAAAGGTGTCTGGTCGCACAGCATCATGGCGTGAGAAAGGTTTCCCTGCTGCTCGTCACTGGAACAAATCAATAGAAATATGCCATCTGGAGATCGACATACCAAACTGTGGCTTTTCCATGACTTTGTTTTAATTGCTTTATATGAATTGCATGGCATACTATACTATAGTTATAGTGCTATAAATACTAAAGCCCACTAAGGAATACATTGGATACCGTGTGTAACTCATATATATATATATATATATATATATATAGCCATTGACTGCAGGAGTAAAGCAAAAAAAAAAACCTAACCAACCATTTTAAGGGGGAATATTAGTTATTTGTAGATGACACCTCACATGTATGGACTACTTTATTGCCTTTGTACAAACCTCATTAAAACAAGTCAAGTCAAATCATTACAAATAAGGCCCTCGCAGAAAGGGCCTGTGTTGTCCCTGATGACCCTCTGCCACGCCCACCTCCAGCACCTCCAGCGAAAGCAGCTGCCGAGACGGGGTCCTCAAAGACCCAGAACCTCCCCTGGAGCTGGAGCTGGAGCAGAAACAGAATGGCTTCCTTTGTCTCATCCCTAGAGACGTGGATGGTACTTTTAGGAGTGAACTACTTGTGCCGGTCAGGTGCATGGCGCTCGTCTTTCCAAAAAGGTGCCCGAATAAGCCGCTACCTGGTACACGGGCCTTACAGCGGCTTCTCTTCGGCAGGTATAAACTAAGCTTCAACTGATGGACACGAATCCTTTGAAGGGGGAGTGTCAATGACACATTCGGATCAGAACGACAGTACATATATATATATATATATTTGGAACTGTACGTCTTATTGGATGAGTCTGCGAGTGGTGCATACGCCCATGTTGAGGTTACATTCATATTCTTTCTTCTCATTGCCTCGCATCTACATAAGATTTGCAAATAATTGCAGTCGCTTTCATTACATACTTAAAATCAATTGCCATTGGTATTTTCCTTGAATTAGGGAACTGTGTATGCAATGGCGGGTTTAGATTTCTGACATTAAAGATGCTTAGTATCAGAAAAAAAGCATCCATTAGTAGTGTATTTTAACAGCCATGTTTGCCCTGAGGAGCGTCTTGCTTGTGTGGTTGGTAAGTAGAGACGTCTCTACATATTAACACGGAATCTTCCAAAGAGGTGACACATTTTTCCTGCATTTTACAGGAAACTGTTGGCAGATTTGATTTGTTCTCCGAGGTAAGCAGCAGACATTTTTCCTTTCATGAGACTGGAACTAAAAAAGCAACTAACATCCACTCAACATCCTGCAGCTTGAAGCCCCCTGAGGCCCAAAGTACCGACTGCATTCAGACGCATTAACGTTGGGTGGGACACCGCACCAGCTTTGAGAAACGCCTCGAGGGAGCAGCGACACGCGGTGCGCTCTGAGGAACACAAATGAAATGACACAGGTATATTATCCACTCTCATCACGTGCACTCTTTTACCAGTGCTTTACAGTTTCCTTATTAAGCTTCTTAGAATGGCTCCAGTGCACAAGCTTTTTTTTTCCCTGTTCAGGATACAGATTCACTTGCGGTAGTTGCATCCTATCCCTTCCCACTTGCAGGCTTCCGGACGCTGACATTGGGCCTTCTTACTTCCCAATTATTTTGTGTATTTGGTGTGGTCAGTGCTCTGTTAGACACATACAGTAGAGCATAATTACAAAAACCAGAAGCAAATGGTTTGTGGCGTATGTTTCGCAAAGGCCATTTGTTTTGGAGCTTGATTTTCCCAGAGAGACAATTTACTGTCTTGGTCAGAACAAGTTCAGACTCCTGTCAATTAACCAAACGTGCACCTTCAAAGGAATAGTTTGGCATTTAGTAAGATGAAAATCTTAAAATTGACAGAAACTGGTTAGCTTTGCTTTGCACTAACAGAGGCGTCGTATTTATTGCCAAAAAGTAAAAGTAAGTTGCCCACACCAGCCCCTTGAATTAACAGGAAATACATCCGTTAGGTCACTTTGGGTAGATTAGACCAACTCAATCCCCTTTATATTTAAGTGAGGTTCATGAGGTTTCTCAAGAAAGATGAGTATCCCCATTCAGAACTTTAAAAACTCAAAAGGATATTTCTTTCCACTCATTACTCTTGAATGCATATCATACATTGCATATCATATTCTTTGTTACTTTTCTCTAATCCTTTCTTGATTTTGTGAAACAACTCTTTGGGCCTCAGACAATAAAGGAGATTTAGAACATTTATAAGTTGGAATTGAAGTCAGCTGACTACTAGTTTCATCTTTGAAAATTGATTTTGTACAAATCATGAGATGAGATGAGATGAGACGGAAGCTAAGCTGAGATCAGATCACTGTCCTGATGTTGAATGTTTAATCTAAAGATATTATACGGCCGGATACTTGTTTTGTTGCAACTGTTGACATTCCTTATGATGCTAAAATAATGCAGTACAGAAATGTACTACAGTTTTTCTTTAGTTCCAAATGTTGTGTAGTGACAATAAATGGTAGTTGAATGCTTTGCCTGTTGCAAATGTTACACAATCTTTAAGAACAGTGACTTGATACAAAGCTTTTCACAAGGGTCAACAACATTTATGCGTCCAGCTATGAAGAGTTAAATTGCTTGTTTTTTGTTGTCATAGAGAAGATTTGAAATAGTACTTTAGCAAAAGCGTTTTTTAACTGCAAATCACTTTAAAGTGACTGATAGCCAAATATTTTAATAGTGAGCTAGCGGCAGAGAAGCCATGAGGGAGTTAAACACAGGGGAGAGAAGCCTTGGATCCACCGTCTGTGAGCGGGGTGATGAAGAGCCGGATCACAGTGTCCCACACTGCCGATACGTCGTACCGGACCAGCTATCGATCGGCTCTGCGCGTCTTGCTTGATACATCATGTCATCTTTGCTTAGAGAGCTGGGATCCGGGACGCCAGCACTTCCATTGAAATGCTCACACCCGAATCTATAAGCCACTCGGCGTTGGCTGCGAGCAGCGGCGTCTCGGCGTGATGATGGATCGGGTCATCTGCTCCAGTCCCGGAGCCCCGAGTGCAGCGTCATCTTCATCAGACGACGCCCGACAAGACGTCCATCATGGCAAAGTCCCGCCGTCGGGCGCCGGTCCCTGATGGAGCAACGCCTTGCTTAAATCAACACGTCGGCAGCAACTTCATCATTTTGGCTCGTTTAGAGCTGGAGACAAATGGAAGCTCGGTGGTTGACCGTGAGCACCGGGGGTTCAAGCCCTCAGGGTCTGATCTGATTCTGTGTCAGTTTGCTACTGTACTGTTCTCACTGTCACATGCTACATGCGCCACGGTATTTCAAAACATGGGTGTCATCAATTTTCAAACAAGTGACATGGAGGCCAACTTTCTGTGTTTGAAGGTAACTGGAGTTTTATAATTCCTAAATTGGATATTCACTGTATACAAGAAGTGGACGTAGTCATTGTGGCATCGGCCATTCATCTGCTCTTATGAAGCGTTGAGTTTGTTCATTTTTCCATGTTAGAAAACGGCAACCACTAGGTAGCCTGCAAGAACCAGGGCTTTCCGCTTAATTGGATCCCTTTTTTTGTTTTTATATTCAATATTAACACATTTCTATCGCCTGAAGTTGGCTGGGATGGACTCCAGCCCCCCCGCGACCATGTGTGCAGGATAAGCGGTTTGACAATGGATGGATGGATGGATGGATGGATTAACACATTTCTCAATGTCTCTGGTTGTTGCATGCTTGGTAGTCAAAATAAATATTCCAACAACGCACTCGAGGTTTCAGAGCAAACAAGTGTTTCAGTTCTTAATGAGTGTCCGCAGTGTGTCCACGGCCAACACGGTGACCCGTTGTACCAAAACACCAAGAACTGACAGCCATTAAATGTTCCATTATGCCTGAAAGTCAATGAAATGAAAGTCAATGAAGTCAAACTATTCGATGAACAGCTGTCGTGCCACTCTGACTCAGTAAGCAAACTGTTGATTCACCTAACAAAGGTCAACAAGGTAATGCCATTAAAACACAGTGGTAGAGGGCCGTCTATGCCAACTGACAGCAACATAAGGTTTTACATACATGTAGCAACCTAGCCGTGTTTTACATATGAGCGGTGATAGGAGCTCAGGTTCCTCTAGCCTAACTCAATGAAGCTCTGGTTTTAGGGTTCATCTACAATTGATTGATTTAGATCAGTATTGGCTTAGAAAAGACAGTGGTCTGATACTGCTCTTCAAACTCACACGAACGGAACAGAAAATAACTGCGGAGGAATGGAGAAAGGTAGCATACTCTTACATAGACATTTTCACTTTAAATCTCTGCCAGCGGAGTTGAGTAGAGTTATTAAAGGTATTAAACTCACGTATCACTAAAAGTGTATTTTTTTCTTAAGAAAATCCAGAACAAGCTGTGTGCTTCGTGCTGGACTACCTCACTGTAACAGGGTCACAGGCTACTGAACAAATTATTGGTAGAGATATTATTGGTGTCATTCTACAAAAAAAGTTGAAAGTGCTGTCATTCACTTGTACAGACACCAAAATCCTTGAGGTTAACTTAAAAACGGCATAAATTATATATGTACAATTAGTAAAGGC